TATATACCGTCAATACTTCTTATAATCATATTTACTTGCATCGATTTTATTTGTTGTATAAAACTGGAGGTAATTTTATGTATTTAAAATAAAAAAATCAATCAATAGTTTTATTCTTATGTCTTCATGTCTCATCATAGATTTTTATTACAGCTGCCATTTCAATCACAGTCGACAGCCATATTGAAGAATGTGTTTACACTTTTGAAATCAAAAGTTATCGTTATATTTTTGTGTTTTTCTGGATTTTTCGGTGTCCTTAATAGTATTATGCGTAATTTTTTATTGTGGTAAACTTTTATATTATTTGATCGGCGATAATAGATTTTCGCTTGTATATGTAGCTTAATTTTAGGCATGTAGAAGATCTCTCTGTTGCGACTGGTTATACGGACAGAATTAAATTGATAGAAGGTTTGATTATAGCGGCACAGGCTTTCAGTGGTGAAGTAATATTCTTCTTTTTATCTGGTAACATACATTAATTATTTTTACATTACAATTTCATAAATACACGATGTTTACTGCAAAACTAAAAAATTATTTTCAATTGTTTTTCCTTTAATAAATATAATATTGAAATCATTTTATTTTTTAGGCAAAATATTAAAGAAGTTTGGCTACGGTTATACCTTTACATTTTGTTTCATATGTTACGCAATTCGGTTGGGCTTAATATCTTTAGCGCCAACGCTATGGTGGATTCTTTTTATAGAATTTTTCATGCAAGGACCATCATATGCACTCAGTTTTACAGCAGTAATATCGTACGGAAACGTAATAACACCTACTGGTGCTTCAGGTACTGTTCAAGGACTGGTTCAAGGTGTGAATGAAGGTTTAGGTAAGATTCCTTACAGTACTTAATTATATATTCATCAGGTATTATTTTTCTAGAGAAATTAAATATATAAATAATGTATAAAAATAATATATGTATATATACATATGATTTGCCACTAATTATTATTAATATTATTATTATTGGTATTATAAAATGTTACCAGGACTCTCGGTTGGCAGTTTGATAGGTGGTATCTTGTTTAAAAAATTTGGAGGTATAATGACTCTAAGAATATTTTCAATATTTGCAGCATTTTCTGCGTTAACATATTTTGTTCTTCACATTTTTTACTTTAAGCAGTTTAATCATAAAACAGGTAAAGAATTAAATAATTTAGTATTTTAATATACATATAACAAACTTCACTAACGCATATGTAAGAGGATAAAAGATTTTCTTTATTGTAGATACACGAAATAATATTAACTGGAGGAAACTTGACGATGCACAGAAACACTGTAATATAGCAGATACTTGATACAAATCTTTTTAAGTCTTCTTGTAAATTACAACTGTTGTTATTTCTATTACACTAAAAAATAATTTTACAAAAGAATAAGAGAGATATATATATATATATATATATATATATCATATATGATTATACATGTTATGAATATTTATGTATGTTTATATATATTTATATATATTACCCCAATATGTTGGGAACAATATTACTATAATATACTAAAATTTCAATCAATTTAATGGTCGAGGGCCAAAATCCTATAATTTTATGCGGGATCTTTTCTTTAAGTAAGAAAAAGTTATAGAACACGCGATGAAAGCATGCCGTTGCTCGCGAGCACGGTCACAAATTTAAATTGTACACGCAGCCCGAATAACCTAGGAGATACAAAAGTCTATGTAAATTTGTATTACGCGCTCTAAGGCGCAAGGATTCGCGGCCTGCGAGGACTTATATGGGGTGTGTGTTCCGATATACTTCTTCTTCTTCTTCTCGTGAGAATGGCCCCGATTCTAACACAGAATCGAAAATTTCGCTTATAATAAATGTCGGCGAATAACAAAAAACAATATGCAGAACACGAAAGTCTAAAAGAATAGCGTAAACTCAATTGCGCGTTTGAAGCTGGTCACACTTTTCAAAAATAATGACACAATAACACATCCGATCAAGTCGATAGACAGGTTACTTCTATATATCGATATACACTGCCAGTACTGGCGTACTGAAAAATTGTTCCGCTATTACCACGCAGTGCGCAGCTTCTAGTTCCCTCAATGACATCATAAATGATAGCCATATTGCCACTACCGCGGCTTTCGAAGAATTCGAAGTGAGGCAGTTACAGTGCAATATAGCGTTGCTTAAAGAAGCACAACGCGTCGAAATATTCGATCCAAGAAATAAAAAAAAATATATACATTATAGTATTTAGAACGCGTATAGTATTTACAATGATGTTAGCGCGCTAACATATTATACTTAATATCATGTATATTATAGAATTTCGGAGATAAAAGTGCGTTTTTATCGATAAAAGCGCGTTCTGAATACGGGCCTATATTTAACTGAAGAAGATGCAGTTATATTCATTTTACCGAAAATGACTCTTAAATCCCACATCTGAATATTTATTATGTCCATTTTTAATTAATTTTTAACACAAGATCAAACTGTTTGAATTGATGATAATTATCATCTTCTTCAGAAGAACTATCGCTGCTGTTTTCATTCAAAATTTATTGATAATTTAGTACGTTTATTTATATCTGTTTACACTGCCAGTCTACTGCAAAGTCATTTCGAAATACGACGTTACAGTAGCACTGGCAATACCACAGTAATTTTTGACGGCTGTGGCAATGCACTGTTGTAACGTTATGATGGTTGCAGTAAAAAGGGAACACACCCACGATACGCGTAGTTAACAAGGGCCAATCGGCGCATGACCCCGATCAGAGGGGAGCCGAACAGCCTGCGTGAATCTGCGGGGAACTCCCGATCGGCATTTATTCTGTGGCTGAGCTTAAAACCATTGTAAGAGGACGTACGTTTCCCCCCTGTCGAAAGAATTACAGGAGTAAGTTCTAACGTCCAGGCTGTGGCTATAAGGACTACAGAAAACGAGAATTGGGTGAGACGAACGCCAATTGTACCACCAATTGTAAAGCTGTTGATCAGGTTCGTAGCGTTGGATGGATCGCGCGTAAAAACTCGCGTGATTGCAAGCGGCCGGTTTAATAGCTGTCGTTAAAATCCGTAACATTACAAGCCACGTGCCATTTGCCCGTAGCCTTGTCGTTGAAAAAAAAATACTATTATAACTGTATCATGTGATCGTTCAGATTCGCGTTGAAGTTATCCTTTTGGATAACGTATCTTGCTAGGAATACAGGCTTTTGCTGTCATCGACAGATTTTGTTAGCATTTGATTGTCGTACAATAATCACCTTAGAAGGTGATTCTAATAGTAAAGATTTAATGAGATTGAGTACGGCTGTTGATCCAGTGTTAGCATCGAAGTATCGTTGTCATCTGCGGATGTAGATCCTATCGAATTCAGTCTACGCCTACAGAGCGAAGCACCAGACGTCAATAGAAAGGCATATGAAATACAGTTATTTATTATAAATTTATCTGTGATTCTTACAACATATCTCTCTCGTCCCTCGATACTTTTCTCACTTTTAACGACCCACCCCTGTTGTCATCGAAAATTGAAATTATGAGCAATTAATTTAAAATAGGCGAAAATTAACAAAAGAGAGGCTCTCTCGTGCCTGGCGCCCAACTTGTTTAGCGGAAAACTCTGATATTTGTGAAAATTCTATCTGGTCTGTCGAGATCTTACGCTTATCTTTTTTTTGTACGGAAATTTTTTTAAGTAAGAAAAAGTTATAGAGCATGCGACAAAGTTGTGCTGTAAATTAACTTCAATTTAACTCTGTAAGAAGTACTTTTATGGAGTCCTTTGTTAATTATCGAAATGGAATTCTTTTTAAGTTCATTTCCAATAAATTACGCTTAATAAAGAAGTCAAGAAAATAAATTCTTTTCGAGTTCAAATGGATCAATTGTGCTATCTGAGTTGTGTTACGAACAATTTTATCCCACAATATGTAAAGACATTATATAAAGTAACGGCAAAAAATTAATCTGTTAAATCGCATTTTTCTTATGTTGTAAATTTAATGTTTCCAACATTTGCAATATTAAAAGTATAGAGAATGAATTTGCGTGACATATATGTGATAATAAGTAATAAAACAATATGAAATATTTTTACTTATTCAAATATAAAAAAATAATTATTGAAAAATAAAAACATAAAGAAACATTTAACATCTTAAAAATAATTTGCTATCTGCAATCAAAATGGGGTATTAATCTGCGGTAAAATGGGTAATATTATATTAGGAACACTCAACATACTCGCCAAGTTTCATGGAAATCGATGAAGGATAGTTCAAAGCTTCCTTCGTTAGTTTTTTATCTGTATACATATATATATATATTAGTAAGTTTTTAAGTAATTTTTAAATATTGAAATAAATTAATCAATGAAACCATTTTTTAGTATGAAAAATGATTTAGTATGAAAAATCCTGTCAAAATTTATTCTAACATTATTTTTAATATATCAAAAGGTACAATTATATATCGATTCTGACAATACTAGCTGCTAGTTAGATTATGCTTTAGTTAAATTACGCTACGAAATACTGTCGTACATAAGCCTAATTATCTTTTATTTTATAGTTATAATTTTATTTACTGTCATTCCTGCACTTAAAAGTATGTAGCAAAACTGTTTTGTCAAGGATATAGCTATTCTACTATTTGTCAATATTTCAAACTTAATTTAATAAAAATTCAAGGCACACATGGATATATTTCTGTATTTTATTCATACAAGTGTATCGATTAATTTTGATTATTTTAACTGTATAAAATGAAAAAGTATTTTTTCTCCTAACATTCTTTCATAATGTAATCTATCATATACTGTGAAAAGTTGAATAACTGCAAATATGGGACCATTTCCAATAAAAATTTCAATCGTATTCCAAATTATCTTCAGAATACCTTTTTTTCTATTTATAGTCGAAATCTTAATGTGTATAACAATATTTTCATAATCTAATAATAATAATTAATATTTTTATTTTTCAAATTTTTTTCAAATCATGATATTGCAATACAATTTATATTTGTAAAATTCCTATGCAGTTTGTTGCTGCATATTCACTTACAATATGAATTTGTAATGACATAATGATGGTGCATATATTGATAGAGATCACAGATTAAAGCCATTGTTTACGTTATTTCGAAGACACGAAAAAAATTGTGTATATAAAAAACGAAATATATGATTATTATACACTAAGCTGGTAACAAATCAAAATCGTCTGAAACATGCACCATGGGAACATGAACATCTTCTATCTGAGGTGTCGTTTTGGATTCACAAAGTCCTACTTCTTTTAATTTCCATTCCCAATGCATTCGTTGAACGGCGTGCAAAGACTCTGCCTCATTATGATGTCTCAACAGCATACCTTCCTAAAATTAACCATTATATGCAAAAATTAAATAAAATATTGTAAATAAATAAATAAATCTTTTTATTATAAAAAGTTAAAAGTATGTGAATATATAAAGTAAATATATTATTTTACTGACAGAAAATCACATACAAAAATTAATTGATTTAAAAATAGCTTTTAATTTAATTTCGTAATAAAAAAAATTAAATACATTATTGTACACAAAATATAAATGAATAAACCGAAAAGGATTATAAAAAAGGATAAATAAAAAATAGGAAATTTCATTTATTGAATGGTTCCTCTACTAAATAAGTTTCATATATTCAATACAATAAGCTAGATATATTCAATACAATTCCCTTCTGTTGTCAAGATAAAAGCAAGCATATTTTCCTAATCTATGGAATTTTTTTGATAAAAATGCTGAATTAATTTTCTCTTATACAAAATATACAAAATATACAAAAATCAAATATCATTAAAGAAACTAATTATGAAATAATATCCTGTACTAATTGTGAAAAAAATTATTTTAGTTGAATTGGCTGTAATATTTTGAAGATTATAAAATACTGATCGAAAGTTTCTTTAGGCAAAACCATCATAAAAACTATAGATTTTATTCTAGTACCATTTAAAAGTTGCTACCTACTTTGAATCCAATCGGACTGAAAAGTATCTCGAGATAAAAAAGGGATAAAAAATATAATTGACTAACAGGCAATTGAGAGCAATAATTTATTGCTCCCAATTAGTCAGACTTTTTATCCTTTTAAAAAGTATATTTTTCTATTAAACTAATCATTTTTTGGTAACTGTATCTTAACACTTTTATGTATAAAATAATGAGGTAAATCAATTGATATAAAGAGGAAGTACATAGTTGTTTAAAAAAAAAATTATACAATTTGCAATACTAATACTTGCAAATTACATTTTTTTTTAATATATAACTGTGTTTTCTTTACATCAATTAATTTATTATTCTGCATAAAAATATTAATATAACAGTTACCAAAAAATGAAAAGTTTAGCAGATAAATAAAGATACTTTTCAGTCCGATTAGACCCAAAATAGTAATTTTCAAATCATGCTAGAGTTAATTTTTGATAGTTTTTCCTAAGAAAACTTTTAATGAACATCTTTTAATTTAAATATCACAATTTCAGCCAATTCGACTGAAACTATTTTTTTCCACATGATAATGTGAAGTCATTCTCAATATTGTATATTTTATTATATTCAATTTATATTCAATATTATATATAACTAATCAAGTGTAAAATGTATAAATACATGATAAAAACTCGAGATTAATTGAAGAATATAATTCTATCATTTATTTAAAAGTTAATGTTCAAAAAGCTTTTCACTTTTAATCATTGCGAATGTCTTAATAATTTTACTTATTTTAGAAAAATTGACTTAAAATTGACCAATAAAATTGCAATATAAAAATGCTTAACAAAGATAATATTTTATATGTGATAATCCATTTTACCTATTATTATCTAATTATATCTTTACCTTTATTTTTTCCCATTTATCATCCACATCTTGAAGCCAACTTAAAAACAGTCTACCATTATATCTACTCCTTGCGTTCCTATCTTTTTCTTCTTGTTCAGGAGTAATGACGTTATATACTTCTTCGTCTTTAAGAATTGTACAAACAGAAAAAGGAAGAGATTGATTAGCAAGTGCTCTAGCGGCTCTACCATGAACTCTAAGAATTTCCTGCTCCACTGACAAAACTAATTTCTCTTTTTCAACCACATGTTGCATCCTAAGACGATATCGTTCTTTTTCTTGTTCAACATACAGATCTTTCATAGCTCCATGTAAACCAACAGGTGGATTAACATTCGGTTCTTTTGCATTACCGGCTAATACATAAGTACAGCGATTCATCAAGTAATCCTTAAAACCTTGAGGAGGTTTCGGTTGAACCGGGAACAAGCCCTTTCGTCTTCTCTCAATCTGTAAAGAATATTAAAAATTCATGTGTTATATTTTTTTATTCTGTTTTTCTCTATCCGCGCTTCTATTTGATTTCATAACTTCGAAATCAGATAGAATGTACAAGTGTAAAATGAAATATTGTTGAACGAAATTAATTTAATGAAAATAAAAAATAAGAATAAATTTTTATTCTGACAATATATTATAACCAAGTTGCAAATATAGTCCAGTTGAATTAGACTAAAAAGTACTATTTCAGAAAAAATTCGTAAATTGGCACTTCTCTTCATGAAAAGCTTTGGAAAACCAGCAGAAAAGAAATGTTATTTGAGATTCATGACTCGCGTGAGAAATATGCAAAAAAAATTCGGTTAATTGCAAAAAAAACAGGTTTTTCGCTTACGAATGAAAAATTATATGGAAGAAAGTTCCATATGAAAAATGTACAATAGATATACAAAATAAAATGTAAAATGTTAAGATTGATTTATTAGTTAAATTGAAAAAAATAAAGGTCACCGAAAAAAGACCTTTCTTTCATTCGCTCTCTGTTTATCGAGATTTGAATGCAAGGCTTTGAAATTCTTCGTAAAATGTGGCCTTCGTTATAATGAAAAAAATCTGTCCCAGTTTGAGCCTGAAATTTATTATTTTTTGTAAAAAGCTATTTGTTTACTAAAAACTCTGCGGAAAACTTAATTTTTACATCTTTGAGCTGTCGCACAGCAAACTATAGGAGTGATTTTCCTTCTTTAAGAATTGCACTATCAGTACAATTACAATTAGTAACAAAATATAAATAAAGTCCGATCGTAAAACCGAAGGTGCCATTGGAAAGATCATTTAATTTCATTCATTTTTGCTTCAGATTATTTTGATGTATCTCTTGATCTGTGTTGAACTATAATAAAAAATGTAAAAACGTTTTTTCCGATCGGATTTGGAACTATTGATTCCAAATCGGACATTCCTATTTTTATGGACTTTTAGAATTTTAAAATATTTTAATGTATTTTTTTATTTGTTAGTTTATATGTTAAATATGTTTATATGTTTATTATTTGTTAAATTTAATTGCTAATAATAACAAAAACGACAGTGTGTAGTTCTTTTGTTTTTTGACTTTTTAACATACATATAGTATCATTTGCGTTTATACTCTCTCACAGTTAAGATCGATCTTGCATCAGGGAATATAACCGATTCTAAATTCTATATTACAATATTTATAGATCGCTGCTAACTTGCCATTATATGTAATGTATTTACTTTTATATTAATGTAAGTGTTGCATGATCTTTATTCTTTATTCCTCGATAATTATTTAATTTTGTTAATTGACATTATAAATTTAAGCGTTTATTATTTATGTTCACGTTGCGTTTTTGTTCTAATGAAATTTTTATATATATACGTACATAAAGTTATAATTTATTATCGGTTTACCATATATTTTTAAGTGCTAAAGATAGTTTTTAAGTTACAAACTGTTTAATGTCTTTATAGTTTCAATTTTGACGATAATTTATTCTATTTTAATTTTTCTACCAAAGATAAAAATTTTAAAAAAAATTACTGACAGTTTATATTTTTTATTAGAATTGAAATCAATAAAACTCAGTTGATAAGATTAGTAAATAGTTTAAACCACACAACCTTTGTATGAAACATTTTTCTCAGAAAAATGCTTACTTTTCAAGATATTTTAAGGGATCCGGGACTTCTTTAACATTCAGTATATTTCATATTATACATATGCTACTAAAATCTTCTCCGTGCTATCAAAATCATCAGTATAAGCAGACACGTGCGAAAAATAACTTCCTTGTCGGTCCTCAAAAGTGCGACATTATCATATCTATTAATTTCCTCAGTTTTCAAAAAAATGTATAAAATCAAGATTTTGACTCAAACTTTAATATTATGCGATAAGTATTTGCGGTCTTATTCTGTGCAAAAAAGTTTTTTATGATTTTTGTTTACTTCAATATACGTTTTATTAGTTTTCACGTATAGCTCTACTACAGTATTGAATAACTATTATAGTAACTATTAAGATTTATTTTTTCATGCGTTAACATTCATTGACACTCATTTTTAGAAAGTTAAGATAAATCAAAATTGACACTTGATATCAATTTTTATCACGTGAACAATTTTAAAAATGAGCGTTGAGAATGCCAGCATAAAGTATCTTAATACTACAATAATTATTCAATATTATAATAGCTACAGCTATACGTGAAAACTGAAACGTACATCATTAAAATAAACAAATGAAATAAACAAAATCATAAAAAATTTTTCTGTATTAGAATGTTTATTTAAGATATATATTTCTTACTTTATATTTTAAATAAATTTTCAAAATCTATTTTTTATAATATTTTATATTTTAAATAAATTTTTGAAATCTATTTTATATTTTTTATTTTAAATAAATCGTATCAGTTATTTTACTGCGAGCTCTGATTAACCTTACAACATTTTAATACTTAAAAATATAGGAGCAATAAATTTCTTGTATTAAATTAGAGAAACCTTGATCTCGGCGGTAAGAATTCGTAAAAATACGTTATATATTTTTAACAATTTAAAAGGAGCAATAAATTTCTAATATATTTAAAAGCACATTATATTTAGAATATTTTGATATTAAGAATATACAGAATAGACTACTATCTTTTTCTTTCGGAAATGAATAGCAATCGGAAATTGGGAAAAAATTTCATTACCAAAGCCTATGAATGGTGATATTTTGATTTTTTTTGGAAATTATCAGAAGTATAGTATACCTGGATCAAATCTGAAATTTTTAATGGGAACGTAGATCGAATAGGGCATTATTGAATAGATTTTTTTAAAAACAAACAACTATTGCTTAAACTCTTTTTGATATCACTCACGGTTTTCGAGAAAAATAAGAAAATGTCAGATGGGTCATCCATTTTTCCAGACATAGAAAATTATTTATTTCAATTAAAATTTTTAAAACAAACTCCATATGATAAATAAAAGATGATGGTCTTTGCGCTTTTAGAAATAAAAAAATGTAATTGCACGTTATTCAATGCAGTATAAATAAAAAAAGAAATAAAAAGAAAGAAAGAGCGTAGTAAAACCTTGAATTTTTATTTGAAACGTAGGTAAATAAGATCTATACATCATCGGATACATCTATTGAAAAAAAATTTTTTAACCAATAGAATCAATGCCTTTGATGGTCTTAGCTGGATCTTAAGTGCTAATATAATTCTGTGTGAATTTTATACTACGTATGCAATCCTTTAAACTGCGCGCTGATTTTTCTCGATCTTGAAACCCAAACTCTACTAAACTACCGCAATAATTTCAACAAAATAAATAGACTATCAATTTAACAATTTGATGCTTTTCCACATCTTAGAATGATCTTAATACTGAGTAACATATTAAAATCTGTAAATAATTCTTATTGCGAAAAATATTATCTTGGCTGGGAGTCAAACATGGGTGTTTTGCATTCCGTACGGGCGTCCTAAGCCTTTAGATTACCGAAGCTTTAGTAATATTCTTCGCATAATTGGCATATGTAGGAAAACATTAAAAACATTGATTTTATTAGTTTGTGTTCTCACATGTACAATCAGATTCAATATTTAATATTGATTAAATATTTTTTAATAAAAAGTTTTTAATATTTTTTATTATTAAGAAAAAATACATTTTTTATTAGTTTGCATTTTTTCTTAATTCTTTTTATTCTTTTTTATCTTTTCTGCATTGAATAAGGAATAATTAATTTTGCAGTTTATATATTTCTAAATTTAGAAATATAAGATATATAAATATATATTAACCTGAAAATGAATGAAATTAATACTAAAATATTTGAAGTAAATTTTCATTTCATTTATTGTTTTTTGTATGTATAATTATTAGGCACAAATTCAGAAGGAGGACTCAATAGATAGACATTTAAAAAAAATTTTTTTGAAAATTAAATTTTCAAAATATTTTCATGTTTCATCTTAAAGATATAACTGTAGATTAAAATAGTAATAAAAATATTTGTTGTATCCTTTTAGATTTGATCATTTTTTTAAGATAAAAGAGAACTTAGTATAAAATAAAAAAAATTGGATAAAATATACCGAATAGGGAAGTGACCTTAACCTTGACATTGACATATATTGTCAAAATCGTGAGTAACAGCCAACAGATTTTTAGCCGTCACTCATTATTCGTTAAAAAATTATTAAGAAAAATTTTTTAAATAACGTCTCTTTTCTACTATATGGAACAAAAGTATATGGAAGTCGCTTCACGTGGAACGTCGTGCGGCCCGTAACAGAGGAGAGGTGGGGATAGAAGTCGCTTCGTGTGAAAGTCGCGCACCCATAAACAAAGAGAGAGGGAAGTGGGATAGATCTTGTCTCACATAGAAAATTGTATTCCCCAAAATTGTAGTCGGTCCATCTTAATCTCCCTGCCTAGAGTCATCCAACTTTTCATACAAAGCCGAGAAATAATTACTTTGATTGTTAATAACTTTTTAACGGATAACGAGCGACGATTAAAACTTGGAAGATGAAGTGGAAGTCACTTCGCGTGGAAAATCATTATGCTTCAAAGCAGGGGGGAGGTGGAATGAAAATCACTTTTTGTTTTTACAGCAAGAATCTATTTTAAAGCAGAAAATTTTTGTTCTATGCAATAGAAAAAAAATGTTTTTTTTTTTAATTTTCTTAATAACTTTTTAATGAATAATAGTGATGGCTAAAACCTGCTGGAGGTTACTCAGGATCATGACCTTGACAACATATGTCAAGATCAAGTTTATAGGGGAAGATCCCCTATTCGGTATAATTATTAAAAATTGCTTATGCTATTGAAATAATGCAATTTTATGTTAAATGATTTAAGTAACAATCGAGAATAGAAATTGTTAAATAGCAAATTTGGTTGGTAATAATGTTTTGGCATAATATAAATGAATATAATAATATAATTATGTACATATGTATTGATCAACCTGTCTTCAGTATTATATAGACATATGCTATTATAAATTCGAACATGTATGTGACTTTAAAAAGATCCATGCATTATTAAAAACTTAAAAGATACTTTGCCTGTTTTCTAATATTCAGAAATAGCTGGTAACAATTGGTAATTGGTTGATCATGTGGATGAATTTCTGGTCCCGTACTAGTAGCCTCGGTCGCTTCATTAGCAGAAACCGTAGCTGCAGCCTGTTGTGCTTCTTTACTAGGTTTCATTTTTCTCTTTCTAGGGTGAAGTTCGACAGGTGGTGCTGGTATACCAGCATTAGATATCGCTGAAGAAGTGGTTACCGAGATATTCTCCAAATTTTCCATATTGCTATCCTTTTGATTTTTCCCGGCAGCTTCTATATTTTTATCCAATTTTTCCACGGCTATGTTACACTTCGAGACAATTCCCGTATTTGTGGATTCTGACGAATTAGTTTTATTTACATCGGATCCAACTATTTCTGGCGTAGGCGAATGATGCCTTTGTTGCGGTGAAGAGTTATTCGAACGGTCTATAATAGTATTAACTGGTAATGGTGATGAGGTGGAATAACCTCCATTACCAGAAGAAGAAACAGCTTCTTTTGGTGCCGTGGAACCATTATTACCATTTCCAGTCCTATAACAATAATTATAAGAATATATAATGCTATTTATAAATAACACAAGTTATCCTTGTTTAATATTCGAAGAATAAAGATAAAAAAATGACACTTGAGTGGCACTCGGATGGGAATTTAAAAATAGTCTAACAGTAGTTTCGAGATTATACACACAGTCAATTTTAAGACAGTGTCAAAAAAAGATATTGAAATTATATTAAATACATGGATGCAGCAAGAAAAATGTAACAATTGGAGCAAAAGCTTAGATTTTGTACAATTCATAAAGAATAAAACACTTCATGCTGGTTAAAAGAACTTATGAGGCAATATTTGGATAGTCAGCAAAAATTGGACTTGTTTCATATTCATTATCTCGAGATATTCAAGAAATAAATAGCGAAGAGGAACTGGAAAAAATTTTACAAAAAAAGTGGAATGCAACAAGAAGATACATTTAAAAACAATTTACAAGAAAGTGCTATTCAAGAAGAAAACATACTAGCAAATGTGTTATTAGAAAGAACTTTGCAAGATTTTGCTAATAAAAGAACTGGCGACGTCAGAAAAAACTATTAGAAGATACATTATAGAATGATGTATTAAAAGATAAGAAAGAAAATAAAAAACTTGAAAAAGTAAAATATGTGAGGCGTTTTTTAATTTCCTTAATATCGATATTTGTAAACTTGACTCTCTAAACATGAAAATTAAAAACAATAGAGAAGAAACTAAAGCGAATTTAGAAAATCAAGCGAATGAAAATAATTTCTAATGCTTCCCATCCTCAAGTTGAAATAGGAATGACCATATGAATTATAAAATGTCAGATGTAAATAGAGGCAGAAGAATTCACGTTCAATATTAACATGTATTATCGAAAAAAATAGATGATGAATATTTTCAATTACACAAAAATGGGATTCTTAAAGGTATACATTCAAGATCTCAATTCAGTATATGTCCAATATTCCAATAGAAGGGCGGTCTCTTAGCTTAACAGTAGCCAATGAACAATCTATTGGAACAGATCAAGGTTTTACGAAAAATGTCATTGCAAAACAAAATAATACAAAAAAATGCATGTATTTAAAAATGAAACTTTTATATAATTCAGAATTCCATCAATTTATTGCACTTGTTACAATAAATAGAAAAGTATTATTCACTTTTATTATTTATTAAAGTTTTTTTTTTCTAAAGAACGTTATGTATATTTTATTGAAAAATTTATATTAAAAATATTTATATTAAAAATTTTAATATAAATTATTTTAGATAATATAAATTTTATAAAGTATTTACACTAAATGTTTCTTATAAAATAAAGTGTCAAGTTTTTATTTTGTTAATACGAAATGTTAAGTTTTTATTTCTTAAACATGTATAAAAAATTAGATTGGCAATATATTACATGTCTCTACTAATGTGTAGCAAATGTATGCAATAATAAAAAAATATTTACATGTTTGTAAATATTTTTTTGTTTGTTAATAATTTTGTGCCTTCCAACAAGCGACACAATGGATCATTACATCCTTGTTGTTTGCCAATGTTAAACAAAGCTGACATAATCATTGCACACAATTATTAACAAACAAAAAAAAGATTTGATTATATTCGTTATATATTGACTTGTTTAAAAAGAATTGATGATAGTTTAGAACATTGTTTTGTTTTAAAAAAATCGATATTTTCATCTTTTGACTTTATTAATAAGTTTTCAATAAAGTGTCATTAAGCTTTTATTTTAATTTCTTAAACATGTATAAAAAATTATACTTACAATATGTGTTTTTACTAATATATAGCAAATGTATGTATGTACCTAATAAATAAATACTTAAAAAATGTCATTTAAAATAAAATTGCATAGCAATTTACAGATGTGATTTTTCTTTTTTAAGAGTTACACTATCACACTTACAATTAGTAACAAAACGATTTTTTGCAATTAAACTATTATAAAACTTTTGAAGAATGGGTATCTTTTTTTCGTATAAAAAAATGGAATAATTCCGTTAATATGCATCATATCAAATAGCCGTGTAGCATTTGACAGCTGACATTTTTCTATGAATTTAAAAAAAAAGTTATTTATTAGGGATGCAATTATTAGAAATCAAGACATTTTTTTTTGTTTGAAAAAATCACTGTAGCTCTAATTTTTAAGATTAAGAATTCCGTCTGGCATCAATTTGTCAAGGAAGAATTTAATTTGCTGTTAAAAAATTTTCGAATTTTTTTGCTGCCCGAAAAATTTATTTAAAACCATTGGAAAGTTGGGGAACGCGAGCTAGGCAGCGCCAGGCGGAGGGGAAACTGGCGCGCGGTCGATTGAGAAAGATCGCTCGGCAACTCGTACGTATCTGATTTCGTGCATTAAAACTTACATTTGCTAAACTTACATTTTCTCAGTAATAAATTGATGTAGAAACATGATTTTTTTTTAATCTGAAGTAATTCGACGAGATATAAACAAATAGCTTAACCAAATGTTTCGCAAAGTATTTTGTAACTATGAAATTTTTAGTTTTTCGTTTCTTGAATTTTTATTTTTTTGGTTTATTTATTAAAAAATCACATTTGAGTATGGAGTGCATGTTTGATTAATAAATTTAAGTCACAGAAGCTATATTTCTTTATTTAATATGCTGTAAAAAGTGTCCAATTGGACACTTAAATGTAAGGAATTATCAATGTATAATAAAATTGTTTTTGTGAATTGCAGATGCAAATATGACATATGTAAACAAATAATAAGTAATTTGCCAAATATTAACGATTATGAGTGTTGAAGATAGCTGCAAAATATACTTTTCATATAATACTAACTTACTTTTATATTTGTGAAAATAATGCGCGCGCATGCAGGGTTGTCATAGAAAATCAATTTTAAAATTCCCTAACTTTACTAGGTTTTCGAAATAAAAATGGGAAATTTCCATGATCAATATAAAATATGTTTCTTTGTTACAATCACCTAAAAACACAACTTTGTAAAGTTATTTTTCAAATGTTAGTAAAATTTACAAATTTTAAATTATTGTAATACATTTCAGATTAATTGCTAAAAATTCGGGGAAAAAACCCCGAATATTTCATATTTATGTGTGAATTCATATTTATGTGTGTACTATATAGTACACACATTAAACACTGATATAAAAATTAATAAGCTAAAAGAAGTTGTAATAAGTAACTTTTTTGTAAATCATGTATTATTTTGTAAATCATAAATAAATAAAACGTATTCTAAAATTTAATAGAAAAAAATAGATCTAGAGTAGTCTTTTGCTAACCTGTGTGAACTTCTGAGTACACGTTGATGATGCGTCGATCTTTCTTCTCCATGCAGAGTCACACTAAAGTCTTTCTTGTCTTCTCCTTTTATGCTGATGTTACCTTCTGTAGGACTAGTCGTACCACTAGTTGATTGGCTTGGATCTTTCTCGGTCGAATCGCTATTTGAACTAGCGACTACATAGGGCAACTGATGACTTCGACTTGCAATATTTTTACCATTCCTATTGCCTTGTTCCTGTTCGGATGCCGTACTCTGCGGAATAACTATCTTTAAAGGTGGTACTTTAGGGGCAGAATTAGAATCCAAACATTTCAATCGGTCTTCCTCATCGTCAGATTCGGGTGGTGCCGGAGTACCGTTTTTCGCACTCGTCGAACTAGAAGTATTCGAAGGTTTCGGACTAGTGGCCATTGAAGAGGCACTAGGACTCTTTCTGTCCGCATTGGAATTCGTATTTTGATTTCCTTTACCAGATGCCATTCCAGATCCTTGCTTACTAGATTTTATACACTACAAAAAATTAAATATCGTAATATGTATAATCGCAGAAAGATGTTATGCAGTTAAGTAATATTAATTCTTACCTTTTCACTACTGGCAGAATTTCTACCAGTACTCTGTCTTCCCGTCGGATTATTTTTTGTGTTTTCCTTTGCGGTCTCGGAATCCTTGCGCTTTTTTCGTCGATTTTCCTCGTCTTGCTCCTCTGAATTGTCACTCTCGAAAATACGTTTCGCTAATGGTGAAGACGTAGAGACAGCAGACGTTTCGTCAGTAGAAGTCAAAGATACCATCGTTGCTTCACTTACAGATGTCGATGAGTTACCAGTGGTGGATGCGTTATTTCCACTACTCTGACTACCTTGAACATTCGAGGGTTTGCCGCTACCATCCTTGTCTTTGTCCAGATTAGGATTCGGAGACGAACTCGCACCTCTCACCGGGGTCGGCTCTTTCGAGCTTTTGAACTCGTATACATCACCACTATCAGTAGATGACGACATATTGCCGGTGCCCAAAACGGTATTAGAGTTTGCCGACGAGACGTTGATCGACATCTTCGATGAAGTCTCCATTGAACCTTGACCCTGTATTCAATATTTACCAATAAAGTTTTTATCAAAAGTGGATAATGAAACATGATGCGCCTATTTGTATAATTAAATTAAAAACAATGAATTTATTTTAGGAAAAGGAATAACTAGAAGCAAGTTTCCGATTTTTTATGTGTTTACTATTATGTTTAAAATGTAAAAAATAATTTGTAATACAAAATTTATTAAAAAATATAATTTTTTTAAAGACAAGCCCAAAAATTACTAAATTTTGTGTCCATCCATAAGACTTAAATTTTTATACTTTAAATACTCTTCTTGGATCTATTCTTAACGAAACATACTTCCTAGATAAGTCCTACACAAGAACACGTTCTCTAGAAGATTCTTATCTTTCCAATTATCTACTCTGTAAGATTGGTATTATTTAGAGTTTAATAGATCATAAAATTTAAAACAAAGCTTACACAAGGCGACACAAGATAATAATGTGTTAAAATATATTTTAAAAAATATAGGTACAATAGACGTTTCTCTTAGATTTTTTTTCTCAGTATAAGATTGACAAATTAACAAATTAAGTACTAAGCTAAGTTACAATAAAATCGGTACAGTTATCAAAATAGATAAATATAGTGCGCTGTCGAATCAAAAATATTGTAAATTTGAAGTTCAAAAATAAATGTTCAAAAGTAAAAATCGCATCAAACATATTTAGTATTAATCTTTAGTATTTGGCAAAATATTTAAACTGAGTCAGACATTAAATTCAAATATTAAATAGGCACTAGAAAATTATCTTAATCGAAAATACAAAATAATTAAAATTTACATTGAAAATAAAATAATGATAAAATGACAAGTAAAGCATAAAATGTATAGTATAAAGTGTTATGAGCTTGTGAGAAAACGTCGAAACAATGCTGATGTTTAAAAAATTTGTCATGTGCGCATGAAATATTAAACCAAGTTTTTGTTATACTTATTGAATTACTAAGTAAAACATGAAAATATCAAGATAAAAAGATCATAATCACGGCTTTATTTTCTGGTCACAGTAGCATAAATTTAGCAACGTTGCGTGTCGATCGGCCAGGAAAAATATAGTCATATAAATTCAACTCAAGTATTATAACAATTGCTAAAAATTTGTTATATTTCTTATTGGGCGAACAAAGGTGAATACCTTTATGAAAGACAGTTTTATGAAAATTATTATGTGATAATATCTAATTTTAAATAAAAAAAAATATAAAAACAAAAAAATATTTCCTCATTGTTTTAATTGTAAAACAAATTATAAAAATCATTATTTTATATGCTTATTTAGTAAAACTGTAGAAAAGAGAAACAACCGCTGATGACCTTGACCTTGACATATGTTGTCAAGGTCATAACCCTGAGTGAGCTTCAATAGGTTTTAGCCATCGCTCAGCATTCATTAAAAAGTTATTAACAAAAAAATTCGAAAAAATAACGTTTTATTTCTGCTATACAGGGTGTTCCATTTTAATGTCCCATCCCAAATAACTTTTTTATTTTTGATCTTAGAAGAAAATGTTTCAGCAGCAAAAGTTACATGGCTTTGAGGGGAACATAAGATTAGTGTAATTAGTTTGAATAGTTGCTTGAAGGTCACATGAAGGTTACTTTCAATTTCTTAAATGGAATTCTCTACTTTTTATTATACATTCTTGTAGATCCTCTCGAGAGCTTTCTAAAACACTATAATTCAGTTCATTTTCATTAAGTACTTTTCGAGTTATAAGGCTTACAAGTTACAGCACCGCCGCCCAAGGTGTCCGACCGACGACTAAAACCTCTTAAATGTTGTTCAGATCATGTTTGTTAAGATCGAGGTCATTGGAGATTGTTCCTCTTATTTTCATTTTTGCACCAAGAATTCATTTTTACGTAAACTGGAATATAATACATAAAAACAGATGTATGCGTTTGAGTGAGACAGAACAATATATAATATAATGTAAAAAATGAATCAAAAATATTATATTATCAAATTTGGAATAATAAAAGTCTGTACCATCGATCTCGATCAAGTTTGATAATCAGTTTAAGATTCCCTTAACACGGAGCTTACACTTCTCATTATGTATGTTCTGTGTCGTATAGATAGATAGATTCACTTGAATTCGATTGGTTATTTTACATTTAATTATATTGAAAGGTAGTAGAACGTAGCGATGAGATCAGCTATGTTCTTCTTTGCTTTATGATAAAAAAGTGATTTATTCGTCATTGATATCTATTTGTTTATAATTTAATGTATAACAAAAGGAAATCGAACGAAATTTATACTATATATTTATACTATATACAATATATTGTTAATCAAGCTAAAATATGATAATGACAAAGCGAAATCTATTCGAAATCGACCTGCATTTGTTCATAATTTAATATTTATTATAACAAAAGCAGATGGAAACGAAATTATATGCTGGTATTTATTAACTAAGCTAGGAAATGATAATGACAATCTGGATCTATTCGACTTCGACATCTATTTGTTTAAAACTATTTATTTATTAACTAAACTAGGAAATGATAATAAAAAAGCGATTTATTTATCATCGATCTCTATTTGTTTATAATTAATATTCAACAAAAAGAAATCGAATGGAAATGAAATTATACAATTTGTTAACTAAATTAGAAAATGATAATGCCAAAGCGATTTATTCGACTTCGACTTCCATTTGTTTTTAACTTAATATTTAATAAAAGAACATTGGATGGAAAGGAAATTCACTGGTATTTGTTAACTAATGAGGGGAACCATAGAACTGATACCTTTGGATTTAGATACCAATTTTTTTGGTTGATAACTTCACAAGTTCACAACTTCAAAAAAAAAATTCTATATTCAGTGAATCTATATTTCCATATAGATCTTAGCTTTTAGCGAGTTTTTAAGTATCGAAAATTGACCGAGCTTTGGGCGGCATAGATGAGTCGTTCCATTAATTAAAATATTAACTTTAATCAATGATAAATTCAATTGACAGAATCAACTTTAATCAATGATAAATTCAATTGGTAGAATCACTTATAATCTTTGTAATATACAGTTCGTTGTGCTTAATCTCTTATTGATATATTAAATTAATCTTTTATTAATATATTAAATATTATAATTCTACTTATAATTATAATTCTACTAATTAATTTATAGTTCTATTCGTATTTAATAAAGTTAGTGCATTTCATAAGGTATCTCACTACACGTAAATAAATTAAATAAATTTATTAAATATACAAAAATCCTTTACCGATTTTGCAAAAAAAAGAAATGTTGTTTATAAAATTAATTGTAACAATTGTGTTTTATGTTGGTCAGATAAGTAGAAAATTAAAGATAAGACTTTCGGAACATCGCAGTCATATTCGCATCAGAAATATAAACCGCTCATTCAGAAATTAAACAATAGGATGCATCACAATCATGAATTTGACTGAAAAAATGCAAAAATTCTGAATATTAAGAACTTTTATAACAGATGCTTAATGTTGAAGATGTTATCCACCAATGTGTGTATAACCACCAATCGAATGTACTTAATAGATAAATGGACACTAAAGGCTTAAATCATAGTTACATAAATATTCAATAAGATATAGACATTTGTATCTGTTTTCTTATTGACCGGAATGTTCTTCCTACTATTATCTATACTGCTAGCTATATCAACTCACTGTCTGAATATACTCTTAACGAATTTGACAATTTTATCTTTTGATTATTTTGAATGTAATCCGTTGAGTATCTTTATTATTTATATAACTTTACGAATTTGTTGCACATTGTGCTGTCGTTCCTTATAACTCGAAAAGTACTTAACGAAAATGAACTTAATTATAGTTGGAAAACTTTTGAGGTAAGCTACAAGAATACGTAACACAAAATGAGGGATTTCGTTTAAAAAATTCAAAGTGACCTTGTTCTGACCTTGACGACGCCATCCAAGGTCAAACCAATAGCACCATCTTAAGTACCCCTTAAAGTCCCAAAATTTTTGTCTGAAAAACATTTTTCCTTAAAATGCACTCAAGAGATATTTGAGGTAATCGATTAAAATAGGACATCCTGTATAATAATTAAATTTGCGCTCCACTAACTGCGCCCAACTATCATTTGCCATTCACTTTAAAAAAAAATTTTGAATATCAAGTTTTTTAATCATTACGTCTTTTAAATTATTTCCCTTCAAATTGATTTTTTTTATAATCAATATTCAATACATTTTGATCACAAAATCAAATTTTACTACTTTGGTATGTGTATGTACCTGTATGCTTACGTTGCTCTGGCGGAAATTTAAATTACCACCTCCTTTCTTCTCATCCCTCGCTCCACGTACCTGGTTGAGTCGGAGCGTCACCCTTGGCGAGCTTCCAGACTGCCCAGTTCCGGATCTGTCAACTGAAGAAAGAACAAAACGTTAATCACGAAAACGTAATATTAATCCTCAAAACGCACTATATTTGATTCGAGATTTTGGAACACATGAGTGTAAGTTATCTCAACGTTTATCTTTATAATCGCGTATATCTTTACGTGTAATGCACAGAATTCGAATTATTTTTTCAATCGATACCCAAAGGTTCAGAAAGAAGAATGAATGTTCAAAATATTCAGGAAAAAAAGAGTAAGGAAAATATTGAAATTCGCGAGAGAAACGAATTTTTGAAAATGTGTAGTTTCGAGGAGAAAATTGTTAGTTTTCTAACAGGATTTCAAAAGTAATTGAACGTACTTTCAGAAAAACATACCATGATTTTGATTAGTTCAAAAATTATTTTATTAATTATAATTTGTTCGGCAAGATGATGTTAGATGGAGATCAATAATCTAATAAATGAGTTTAAACTTTATAACAGTAATGTACAATATAATATAATTATAAAAATATACTTATGTGAAAAATACTTCCAAACATACTATTTTTAAGAATATCAAGCTACACACTTTATTCAGATTTTGTTTCAAGTGCTTCGAATTTCTATAAAATAACGCAAAAAATAATAAAAAATGCTATAAATCAACTTATTTTCATTTAAATAGGACGAAATATTAGACAATGAACCGTCATATAATAAAAAGTTGATATCCGAAATGGTACACATAAAAAGACAGTCATGGTTTCAATAAGCAAAACGACACAAAATCTTTGACATATATTTTCCTATCATGCAATCCCCTTCCTATAAAGCTCTTTACCCTCTCCTTATTATACTTCTCTACCGATTCCAACCATATTGTTTGCTCCCTCACGTTTAGAAAACGACAAATTCTGAGGTGTAAATTGGTCTCGCAGAGTCGATAGTTAACTTATATTATGTTGGAGACGCAGCACAAACATTTTAATATTTCACTTTTTACCGTTGATCCATTTTTCCCACCATTTTTCCGTTTGCATTCTCTGACCAGGAAATCTATTAATTTAACAGATAATTATATACACAACATGAATAAATGTGAAATGTGTTTTATTCATTAGAAATAGGTGGTACAATACATGTTGCAGGATGATATTTATCATAAAACATGAAAAACAATAATTTTCGCGGCATCTTATCTTGGGCATCTTATTGTACCATCTATTTCTAATGAATAAAACACATTTCACATTTATTCATGTTATGTATATAATTATCTGTTAAACAGATTTCCTGGATAGAAAATGCAAATAGAAAAATGTATTTGTAATGTACATATGAGGGTCGTTTGAAAAGTTTTGAGCCTCAACATAAAGATGGCATTACTCGTCAAAATTATTTTGATACTACAATTGTACATGTTTTGTAAGATAGCTATGAAAATTGTAATTATTTTGGACGTTCAATTGTTGTTTGAGAGTTGATTGTTTTGAGTCATTTGTGTCAGTCTTTTTGTAAAAATGAAAAACATCGGATAAAATGTTGTGATGAAAGGTTGCTGAAACGTTATAGAAAAAATCTGCAATCTTTTTTAAAATATTACTAAAAAAGTTTCAACTCACTATTTTAGTACTTTAAAAATGATATTTAAATACATATTTAATTGATACTTAAATATTTAAATTTATTATGTCGATATAATAAATTTAAATATTGTTTAAGTATTAATTAGGCATATATGTTCAAATGTCATTTTTGAAGTACTTAAAATTTATTAAGAGTTGATCTTGTTTACAGTTTACAAAAACTTATTGAAATAAACTTAAAATATTTCTCAAAAATGGTAACTATACCGCCAACTATTTACATTATGAATATTTTTCAACAAGGGCACAATCAGACACTGTAATACAGTGAGTTTCATCCTTGTTTAATGTAGGTAAACAACAAGGATGTAATGATTCACTGTGTTACACTGTATATAACTATAATCCTTGCTGGAAAGTACCATACATGTATAAAACATATACATAATCACTATTAAAAAATCACACTTGCAGTTTCCATACGATATCATTATTTATATACAAAAGATTTTCCCAATTAAAACAGAATAAGTCATTCATATACAAAAGTTTTTTTAAAGTAGAACAAGTCACGATAACATTAAATTATGTTAAACTAAATCGTGATTGATCAAAAAATGATTTTTAGTAAATATTTTGGAGTCATTTTAACGTTATAATAATTTTTTGTTCTGTTTGGATGTTTTTCGATTTATCGCATATGATCGATTTTAGAAACATTTGTCAAACAATAAGAATCTTATTTTAGATTATACATGAAAACAACCAATGTGAATTCACATACATAATCATATTTGTAGTTATTCGAACTGCGTGCTGAATTGGGTTTCCGGAGACTTATAAACACAATTAAACTGTTATAATAGTTGCTTTCTATTTACACACAAGTGAAACTGAGTCTGAAGTGAGCTAAATATTTTACACTCAGATTAATGACTACTTGCTTACTTTGGTAAAAAGTTATCACATATATCAACATAGATTGATAACCTCACTTTGAAATGAGTTTACAAGACTCGCTAAAACACGGTTTTGATCTTGTGCAGATTATATAAATAAAAAACTCAATTGAATCTTACTTGTCAGAATGCAAAAGAAACTTGTATTCAACTGAGTTATGATGTCACAAATGAGAATTATCTGAGAATCGATGTAAATGGAAACTAATATCACAATGAATTCACATTGAATTATATATTAAAGATCATTTCAAGAAACATTAAACATCATTAAAGATCAGCATTAAAGATCAAGCATTAAAGATCATTAAGCATTAAATCCAGCTTCGATACAGGCATTTAATTTCTGTTAAAACATTTCATGTGACATTGCAGAGCAGAATCCTTTCAGAATTGTTGCATATGAAATTTGAAATGTGAAAGGTTGAAACATTTTTGAAAATTTGATTGACAGTAGACTACACTTGTCGACTTTAGTCTACTAAAAGTCGACATTCAGTCTGACTTCAAAGTCGACTTTAGACTTCTTCTGCTGACTGATAGTCGACTTCGAAAGCATTCCACTTAGGATGCTGTCCCATGACAGTCGGAATTTTGGAAAACGGAATCTCGGAAAAGTAATAGGTTCGCAACACTCAAGATCTTTTATCGTTTTACCTTTTTCAAATATTAAACAAGAATAAAATGACGTTTACAAGCATTGCAAATGTCAAGTGGAATGCATCCTTCGTGCTGTATGAGAAATCGCATAATTTTATCTTGTATGTATTCGAACAGGAAGGAAAAAATTTACCTTTATTTTGCGGTGGTGTCCTCCGCATCTCACAGGGAGCTCCACTGTTCTCAACAACGTGCGATGCAGCGTTTGTGAAATTTCTGGCTGCGTGCTGCTGTTAGTATTGCGTTTGATGTTGGTAAAATTGGTGCTGTGTTTGTTACTCATTCGACGGCAGCAGGAGAACATGGGTTATTGGGAGCGGCTGTTACACTTTCTGTAAATGAAGTAGCGTCTGTAATTCCTATTTCTGCAACTGAGTTCAAAAGATTTCCATGTCGAATTCTTCTGGAGAATTTTTTTTTATGGAATAGTGCAAATGATAGCAATATAATAAATATTAGCTACTTTTAACATAGTATAATGAAGCGACAGTGAAAGGTTAGAGCACCGTTTCACGTACTAATCGATTCACTTAACGGCGCAATATCACCAACTCCAGTCGATGGAAATTTCTATAAATACATCTCTCTTCAAAAATTCAGTCAGATTTTTAGTAACAGTCCACTCTCAAGGAAGAAATCACTTTATGTTAACCAACAATATTACGATTGTTAATCTTGTCAATGCAATAACTCGCGCAATCGTTTTATTTCTTCAAATCATATTTCAAAGTTCTACAGCTAATTAATTGTTTTAATTGGCAAGAATTAATTACACGCGTAAAGATACACGATGTTGAATCGCTTCGATGTGTGATTAATGGATTGTCGTTGCTCTTGTCCACTATGTTACAGTATCGATATGAAAATCCGGCAGTATTACTATTTTTCGTCTTTCTAACTTAATCAATGTCACAATATTTGATCACTATTCCCTCCCCCCTCCCCCCGCCCCTCCGATGATTGTATGCTGTCGACAGTACAAAATATCAAACCTATGATTCTCGTAAAACTGCGTGAAACTAACAATAAGCAATCGCATTATTGCCGTCCAGGAACAAACTTGACTCATAGATCGCGTAACGCGTTCGGGAAGACTCAATTGTTGCGAAACGGATCCGTGAGCGCTCGCTGCTATTGGATGATCTATAAGGGGCTCCGCACAATAAAAGGTACAGGGAACAGAGAACAGAGAATAAGAATTTCAACCTATCAGAAACTGTGTATTCCACAATACATTCCTGATAGATTGAAATTCCTGCTAGGCGCGAGTTCGTTTTCTTATGACCGGCGTCCCATGGAGCGGAAATTTACAGCGGAACGGAACAGTGCGACCAATCACAATCGCAGAAAAGAAAGCAGAGTAATGACTGCAGAGTTGTGATTAGTCGCGCTGTTCCGTTCCGCTGTAAATTTCTACTCCATGGGACATCAACCTTATATCCCATAGTGCGGAAAACTGCAGAAGCGTAATCTATGCGAGCCAATAGTATAACTGTTCCCATAGACACAACAGAAGGATCTATGGGAAAGATCCCAAATGGGACATAAGAGGTTTGTTTGCATCGCATACTCCAACATGTTTCTACTAAAGACCCTTTAATCAAAGACTGGCCATCAGGATTTCATCAAATTTCTTCGAGCGAGAAAGAAGTACAAGTATATATCCACACAAAACTTGCATAGCCGCATAAATGTACGCATAAAGAAAATTATCCCATCACATTTTACATGCGTCTTTATAAAAGAAATGTGATTGGATAATTTTCTGCCAGTCTCTGATTAAAGGGTCTCTAGTTCCTATCATAGCTCCTATTCACTCTACAAGCGCATTTGAGTGTATAGGAGTTACGATTGGAGGAAGTAGGAGCACGTTGGAGCATGCAACGCGACAAATCTCTCAGAAAGCAACCAATCAGAAAACAGGATTTTGCTTCATATCGATACGAAATAAAATTCTGCTTTCCGATTATTAGATTATTAGCAGAACGTACAACACACGTCGAATCCAGTGTGAATCCAGTAGAAAAGACACGTCAGCCGAGCGCAATTGATGGAATATTTGCGATTGGATGGACATCATTCCGCCAATTCCTCATTGCACATACTTTCCTCATCATGGAACTGTGCCATCACGCGATTTCCATAAGCGTCAACTGTTTTTAATAGTAGGTTTTACTACACTTTTTACACTCAGCATTGCTTTCTCTCTTTTCAGAGCCAGATATATATCTATCTCATTTTAAGTGTAAAAAGTGTAAGCAAGTCGAACAGAGCAACTATATCGTCGGTGATCCTGGTTTAGTCTCCTTTTTACTTGTATTTGACGAACGATTCGAGTTTATAGAAGTGTCAAAAGTAAACTATTATTTATAAATATTATTAAATATGACATTTATGTTACGAGCTTGTGCTAGTCAAAAGAAACTTGTTATTAAGGATTTTAATAATTTGAAATGCCGCATTTTGTCTTATGTCATACACGATCGCAATTTTGAGGTTAGAATTAAATTTTTGTATTTAAGCAGATTATTATTGAAATAAACTATCGATAAATGTTAACAAGATCCCATTCACCTCAAATTTTGTAAAAATATAAATTTTGTTAAAAATATGAATCGATGTTTGCGCGTAAAAATAAAAATTTGACAAGAAAAAAATATCGCTAACCCCGAAACTGAAATATTAATTATTAAAGTTGACGACTATTCAGGTTAGGAAATCTGTCACAGCAGTGATTCACTCGCTGCTCTAAAAACACTGCTTTTAACAGAAAATTTGTGTTCTTAAAACAGTGAATTTATATTTTTAAAGCAATGAATACTTGCTTTGAAAAAGACAAATTCACTGTTTTAGCAGAATATTTGTTTTTAAAATAAAGAATTTTATGTTTTTAAAGCAGAATTTTATGTTTTTAAAGCAGAATTTTATGTTTTTAAAGCAGAATTTTATGTTTTTAAAGCAGAATTTTATGTTTTTAAAGCAGAATTTTATGTTTTTAAAGCAGAATTTTATGTTTTTAAAGCAGAATTTTATGTTTTTAAAGCAGAATTTTATGTTTTTAAAGCAGAATTTTATGTTTTTAAAGCAGAATTTTATGTTTTTAAAGCAGAATTTTATGTTTTTAAAACAATAAATTACTGCTTTAAAAACATAAATTCACTACTTTAGCAGAGGATTTGTGTTTTTAAAGCAGAATTTTATGTTTTTAAAACAATAAATTACTGCTTTAAAAACATAAATTCACTACTTTAGCAAAGGATTTGTCTTTTTAAAGTAATGAATTTGTGTTTTTAAAGCAATGAATTGGTGTTTTTAAAGTAATGAATCACTGAGAGATTTCTTAACCTTAATAGCCGTCGATTTTAAAATTAATATCTTGGTTCGCGTAAAAAAGCGATTTTTTTAAATAAATCTTTTTATGCGAAAACACATCAATTCAGTATATTTTTATCAAAATTTGAGATGAACGGAGTCTTCTTAACATTTATCAAATTATTTACAATGATTAAATGTTTTCATAACATTAAAGAAATTTAAATTTTGTAGAGATATTCCGCATCACATAATATAAGGTTCTTTCATAATATAAATTCTTTCTCTCAAGATCATCAGAAAACTACTGAAAGAACTGAGATTTATTATGGACCTTTAACCAAACAAATTAAATTTCTCAAACTTTTTTCATTATTAACCTCTTCCAGTGGCTTATTGGTTCAGCCATTTCTTTACTTGAAAGCTGTAGAAAATGATAATGTAGGAGTCGTTTTAGGATTATTTGCATGTATTGGATTATTTGCTATAACTACTCCTTTATTAATACATATGATAACGAAAAAATATATAACACATTTGTATTATAATGCAAACGAAGATATATACATTGCAAATACTTATAGTTTGTTCGCTCGAACAAAAAAGGTATTTAAATTTCACATAATATATTTCTGTGGTATGTTTTTATATTTCATGTAATAATGAATTATATTTCAGCTCACATTTACACCAAACGATGTAGTAGTACCTGATGTAGATGGAATGTTTACAAATTGCATTATAAAGAATATCCCTTTATTCTTAGAACAAAAATTTTTCTATGACTCCAGTCATTATATTCGTATAATGGGATATGATAAACCAATAGATTTTAAATTACATAATGATTTTAATCGAATAGCCACACTACACTGTAAAGAAGAGAATCAGAATGACTGTAAAGAAGATAAAAATAAAAAATAATTATAAGATAGCATATACAATAAAGCATACTTTATTTATACCTCAATTTCTTTTTACATATAAATTTTATACATACATCTTTATAAGCGCTAATGTAATAAAACACTACAAAATATTTATATCCTAATACTAAATATACATAAATTATATATACAGAAAAAATTATTATAATCGTGCTGCAGCATTTACAAAAGAGTATATAAAAATGGTTCTGAGCTGAAACTTAAAAAAATTAATTCCATGTTTCTTGATATATATATATGAAAGAGAAAAATAATTTATAAAGCCGGAAGATCTGGGAAAATTGTGATAACGATAAAAAATGTCATATGAAATTAGAATAATTATCCAAAAGACGCTCCTCATTTTCAATTTCAATGAAATTATGCTCATTCGACGCGTTTTTGCATGAAACAAAAGAATCAGTTAAATGTGCCTAATCCCGTGAGATATTTATCGTTAAAGTTGACAACTATTTAGGTTAGAAAATCTGTCATAGTCACGAAACACTGCGAGTATGAGCTGTGGTCACGTTTTTATGACATTTTCATGCTCTAGAAATACTATCCTCACATTCTGAATTCCAAATGAATTTTTACTGCCTCTAAAAAGATTTCTCACATTTCACTGTCCTTATAAGTTAGAAATATTTCAAATGGATACTGGCCTAGTTTTCATCGAGGGTTTAATCAGAATCAGAATGTAAAGGTGCATTCCGTTTCACACATGATGTGCACAATGCATCATTTATCCTTGTTTAACATTCGATGAACAACAAAGATAAATGATGGATCATGCGAGAAACGAAATGCACCTTAAGAACCAACTACAGTCGAGTATTCCCCTGTTACAGTCGAACGACAGGGGAATGCTCGACTATAGTTGGTTGGTACTTGCATTCTGATCCGAATTAAAGCCTCGGTGAAAACTAGGCCACTGTCTAGGCTGCAACTTCTAAGCGATTAAGCCCCAAATGAATAGGATATGTTTTTTTTTTTTCGAGGCGGCGTAGCCGCCATGCAACACTTCTAGATCGCTACTCTGATTAGAGCACTATAATATAGGTATTCGCATCCGCCATTTTTAGTCTCTTCCCCACTTTTTGTTCTCTCTTCAATATTCATAGTTTAGCGGCGGAGTGGAGAGAGAGAGAGAGAAAGAGAGGAAAGGAACAAGAGAGTAAGAAAAGGATTAAAAATGACGGATGTGATTACTTATATTATAATGCCTTATCCTGAAAAATGGGCACATCTTTATCTTCCACCATGTGTTGGAGAGTGCGATCTAGTTTCCACCGAGAGTTTAATCGGAATGTAAGAACCAACGAAGGCTACGTTCCAAAACTTCCTCTCTGAGAAAAATTTTACTCGAAATATATAGTATACGCAACGTATACTATAGCATATAGAGTAAAATCTTCCTCGAAGAAGAACGTAGCCCAACTACAGTCGAGCATTCCTCTGTCGTTCGACTGTAACAGAGGAATACTCGACTATAGTTGGTTGGTTCTTACAACTAGGCCATTGAGTGTGACACGAATGAATCTCAAGGCTGTGTTAACATCGACTGGACCACGCTGGAATCTGGATGACTAAATAAAATAGTGTAACGAAGTGTGTGTAATTGTCGAGTCTGTTTCGTAAGCCGGTTTGTTTGAATGTAAAAGGAGTAATAGACGTGTGAACTTTTGTAAAAAAGCAAAAGGAGAAAATGAGTAATGTAAAAGACGATGAGACCACGATTACGGAAAATGGCTCGCAGAAAACGGCCAAACAGCTGCAAAAGGAAGCCAAGAAGTTAGCTAAGTTGGAGAAATTTAAACAAAAGCAAGAAAAGAAGGAGACTGAAAAACTGATAAACGTGAAAGAAAAATCAGAGGTAAGTGTGAAGCATGTTAAATGTCCTAGACATCTGACGGAGTAGAGAATTCTATCGAGAGCACGTGGAGTAAGAGCTATGGTAGAAGCGTGTTGGAACATATTGGAACTTATGACGCGAAAGTTTTTATCATTTATATAGAATCTAATCATTTATTATGTACTTTCATTATTGAAACTTATAAGAGAATTTCACAATTCTAATGTAAGTTTTTACTTAGTTTGATACATACTTGATTATTTATGAATTAAATAACTATTAATTATTGAGTCTATTTGAAGATATAAAAATACAAAAAAAGATCGATATTAATTGTATACATCAGATTATGTAGAACATAATAGTAATTTCAAGAATAGAATATTTAATGAAATAATATAATTTGAATTAAGTGTATTATATTAGTTTTACTTAATAATTAGTTTTACTTAAATTACAAAATTAATACTTATTCTAAACTTATCTGTATCAATATTCTGTCATTATTGCAAGGCCTTAGAATTGCTCAATATCAGTGCATTAAGAATACGGGCAACAACGATGTTCAATCTGTAAAAGTACATTCAGAGACACCTTATTACTATTTGTGTCATTCTATGTTTTATGTCAAATGAATGATGAAGCTAGAATGGCAAATAGTGTCTTCCCAAATTAAGGACTTAGACCGAAATTACATTATGGATACATTTCAGTTGATTACAATTATGATCTGAGGATATCCAATTTCAGTATCGGTTTCAGTTCTTTTAGTGATAACGGTGACTGTTGTGGTATAATTATCGAAACCCGAAATCCAAATGAACCCAGTAATCATTATAGTAAAAGAACTGGAACAAAAAGTTAGATTTAGCGTCGGATCATTATCCGGATAGAATATTTTCGATCCGAATCCCTGCTTCAAATGCACTCAAAGCTGACTTAAAAGTTATATTCTGTTTCATATATAATATGTCATTTTATCCTTGTTATTAACTGAATGTTAAAGAAGGATAAAATAATACATCATGCATATCCTGTGTGAAATGGAACATTCATAATCATTACCATCTATTGAAGAATAGAGCTATCTACTTGAATTAGTTTAATGTTAAATTACCATATTCCAACATGCCTTTATTTCATCAAACTAATTTATCATAGCTCTCTTACAATTCTTAAACTTTATTGTACTTTAAGGCTTTTGATAAATATTTAGTATAGCGATCTCTTCCCTTTCCCTCCTTTGATTTTTCTAATTTTGTAAAATAAAATAAAAATACAAAAGAGCTACGAGCCAAGCGAAATGTTTATTGCTAATTGCTTATTTAAAATTTAATATAAACAATAATTACATATATTTGGACGCGTATTGAGTCATTATCAATGTAACAATAGCTGCGTTCAGCAGAGAAAGAAGCTTTGCAACTGTAAAATTCTTCAATAAGATGATTCTTACTTTTGATTTCTTATGGCTCTAAATGTATAAACCAATTATATTGAAGAATTTCATCAGTTGCAAACTATTTTTTCTGGTGAACATAGCAATAATTACAAAATATGATCCGTTACCATAATTTTGAATCAGAATATTAAATGGAAAGAAAAACAATCTTACAATTTTTGCTCGCATATCTTATAAGTAATGAATCCCATAGCCAATATATTGCTGGTTCATGTCACTCAAATAATGAATTGATTTGTGTAGTCAATATAATAAGATAAATTGGAGAAAGTATAAGGGGGAAGATGTAACTTTATTTATATTTTTGTCATAAAACATATATTGACCATTCTAACTGCATAAAAGTATATAGTATGTAGACAATGGCGCAATTATCAAAAAGTTCATGCCAATTAACATTGGAAAATATTTAACAAAATACGAAAAGGTCATATGTAGGAAATATGTTCTTTATAATACTTGGTACGCTAAAATTTGTGCTTTACTGTAAAATCGAACAAATGATATACGGATCAGTGTTTTCTGACATATGGTTGACATAGATAATTTGTAATATTCTTATATGCGTAAAAATTGCAATTGAATATTTGTCTTACACTTGACATAAATACAAAACACAATTTTTTCTGCTTGAAACCGTCATTAAAACGGTTTTATGAATTAAAAAAAAATTTTGGATGCTTTGTATAATTCAAAATATAAGTTAATAAAATGCTGTTTAAACAAATAAAAGTCTGTCTAATTTACTTCCTAAATTATTCTCTTACATATTTCCTCAATTTATATTTTATCATATCTTTATACATTTTTATAGTTTAAATTCTTAATTATGGACTGTAAATAAATAAAATATGCAAGTTTACATTGCATTACATTATTTAAATGCTTGTGATATTTTCTCCCATTTAATATATATATATATATATACATATACACACTTGATGCCCTTTTCGTTAATTTTCTTCAAATAATTAATTTAGTATTTAATTTTACTGTCACTTAAATTTTTGCTGATCCAGCATTCTTTTTACGGTTCTTTGTGCAGACAGCACATCTATATTTGACAATTTATTCTTCTCCTTTTTAAAAAGGACATATCATCAAGTTACATATCATTTAAATTCTTTTCATAGTATAACGGCTTTGTTCGAGCAGCACACCTACTATTTCTTATTCTTTTCTTTCTTCAGAATAAGTAATTTTGTATTTTAATCTTATTTTACTAATTTTACTACAGATTATAACTACAGATTAATCCTACCTTTTATTAAAATTTTTTTCTGAACGGCATGTGTACTTGGTATACTCTTTTTATCTTTTCTTAAAAAATTATTTTTGTATTGTAAATTTAACTTGATTGTTCTAATTGACGATGTTTATTTACAAATTATCCTAATTAAAACTGCAAACATGATCCATAATTGCTAAAATTGGAACATGCAGGTTTAATTATTTTAATTATTTTTTTTTATTCGATTACTCTTTTATTTACACTATTCAGTTCATTCGAATTTTTAATATTTTAATATATTTGAAGAATCAAGTCTATCCAAATCTGCAAATTTATCAATATCCCTTTGTTGTCATCACGAGTCAAAATGATCGAATTTCGAGCTGTATAATTGTATAGCGTAATTCGTAATCGAGTTATATACGATATCAGTCACAATTATCACAAATTTAAAGTCTCCTGTCG